TGGCAGGCAGCCGGTGCCTGCTGCCCCATCCCCCTGCAGCCCCCGATGGCCCCATCCCAGCCTTGCCGGTTGGTGGGATTCCCCCCGGGATCGCAGTGGCAGGCAGCAGGAGGTTCACATGTGTCAGAGTCCTGTTTGCTTTACCAGGCTGGACTTGCCTGTATTTGCTTAGCGAGCTTGGAGACACTTGCTGCCAGGAGAGCCAGACAGCAGTGCCTGCACCCTGCCTGCGGCTGAGCGAGGGTTTAACATCTCCCACCTTTGGGCAGGATCCAACCTCTCTCCAAACCCTGCTGGGTCCTGCAGTCAGGACACCCCAGTGCCAGGGGGCTCAGACACCCCCACAGCTCCCAGTGGCTGGGCATGGGCTGAGACAGTTTTGGGGGGGTCATCATGGGCTCCCTTCTCGTTCCTATAAAACCCTGGGCGTGCAAATCCCCCTGATGCTGGGGTGGAGGTTTTTGAGCCTCCCTGGAGGCACCTGGGGGCGCTGATCCATGCCCCCCCTCTTCTGTGGTGTTTAGCCAACGAGGTGATGGTTTTATACCCCCAGGGCCAGCCCTGCCCTGCAGGGACCATCCCCAGCGCTCAGCCGGGAGCTGTGACAGCTCGTTCTCCCCCCGGCTGCGTTTCCGGAGGCTTCAGTTGCTCGGGAGTGTCTTGAGAAGGTTTCATGCAAACCGCATGGCGTTAGCGGCGCAGCACCAGCAGCTGCCAGCCCAGTGCCCTGGCACGGACTGTGGCTGCTTTTACCCAGGCAAGGCTTTTGCTACCAGCCCCAGGCTTCTGTCTTGCAAATTTAGTGCTAAATTAGAGCCCTTCCTGCCAGCAATGCTCATCCCTCCTTGTAAAATCTGGGTGAGCCTCTCAGGGCTGGGTTTTGGGGTGTAACAGGGAGTGAGTTCTCACCCCCCCACTCTGCCATTTAGGAGCATTGGACTGGGGGTAGCTGGTGTCTAATTAGGAAATGAATTAAGTTTCCTCTCAAGGCAGCTGCATGAAAAGCAGCTCCAGTCAAATGGGACGTGACGGGGATGCTGCGAGGAGGCTGCTTTGCATCCCCTTTGTATGAAGCCCGAATGCTTGCGCCAGATTTTGAGACCCGTGTGAATTTGCTGGCTCAGGCATCCTCGGAGCTGTTGTGTTTCTCTTTGAGTAACTGGGAATGCTGCTGCCGACGGGCTTGTCACTGCTTGTAGGGCTGCGGGGAGTTTCCTGGGACTTGGGGTTTCAAAAGCTGTCCTGAAATAGCTGTTGGGGGGCTGGGAGCTGGGGAGCGGGTCCTGGCCTGCTGTGCAGTTGGGGTCCCTGGGCCCACTGCTCCTGCTGGGTGGCTGAAAGTCCTGGGGTGAGAGGGTCTGGGCACGCTTCTGGAGGGAGAAGGGTCTGAAGGTGCCCCAAGTCCTGTTCCAGGGCAGGAATAGGGATGCAATGCCGCTGAGCTCACCATCCCAAGCGGGCATCTTGAGGCTGTAATTGCCGGTAAGGAGGCTCTGCCAGCTAATCCCTGCCCCAGCACGTTGGGAGGGCTGTGGGCATTGGAGGATAGAAATTAGGGGTATTTCCAGTCTCCTGCTGTCCAGCTCCCAGCCCCACAGCTGAGGGGCTTCTCTGCATCCCAGGTGTTGACCCCAAGCCCTCTCACCTTGGGTCCCTTTGGCCAGGGACACTTTGGGGCTGGACGGGTGCCCTACCATGGGGTGCTCCTGCTGTGGATGGGCAGGATATGGCCTCTGGGGGATTGGATGCGTTTGTTTTTTCTCTTGGGGAGACAGAATGGTGGCTGCCTGCAGGGCTTCTGCTGGCGGGAGGGATTTGGGGAGGGCGAAGGCAGCCTGGCAGGCTGGGCTGGAGGAGCTGCCAGCCGCAGGCAGGGGGATGCTGTGGGGGCCGGGTCACGGCTCGGCCAGGCTGCCCTCGCACCGGGTGTTCCTGCCTTCACCGGCTGCCTTTGAGGGCTTGGTGCCTCCCTTGCTGCTGTGCTCTGTCTTCCTGCCCTGGAGGCATCTGTCCACCCTGCAAGGCTTTTCCCCTCCTTCCACCCTCTCCCCCCCGCCCAAATTTGTGGCCCCAGTGTCTCAGGGAGCCTGGGCTGCTGGGGCTTTGTTGGTATGGGTAGGAGCGAAGTCCTCCCTCCTCCTTGCCCGGGAGTGCTGCCAGCGTCGCTTGCCGGGTGCTCCCTCTGGCTTTGTCCGGAGCTATCGGTGTGGAGCAACCCCATGGTGCTGCCAAGGGCACCGGGAGCGTGGGTGCTCACAGAGCCCAAACCCAATTCCCGGGGCCAGGCCAGGGCAGGGGGTGCGGGGAGGTGCTGCTTTCCTCCAGGCTCCACCAACTCCTGGTTTTTGGCCTTGTTTTGGGTCTTCCCTGTCCCCACCCTCACTAGGGATTGCTGCCTGGGTGGAGGGTGCAGTCGCAGCAGCCTGGGCACCCCCTGAGCCTGCTGTCACCCAGTCATGGGGACCGGGACAGAGCCCGCAGCCCAGCCCCCTCATATGGGGGGGGACCGAGGGGTGGCCAGGGCAAAGTCAAAGTTGCAATCCCCCACCCAGCTAGGGAATCTGCTGCTGGTCTGCGGAGGGGACACCGCCGGCTCCTTGGGGTGCAGCCAGGCTGCTGCACCAGGCATTGCCCAGCTGAGCCGTGGGTGGAGCGGGTCCTGCGTGACTGCCAGTGCTGCGGCATCCCGGGTGAGCGAAGGGCGTCCCGGGCTCACCTTCGCTCACCGGCAGACCCAGCTGGGTGCTTGCCTGTGCCTCCCTCCCTGGGGCGTTGGCGAGCGGTGCAGGGGCGACAGCCGGCCTCGACCCTGCAGGAAGGTGTTGTGCAAGAGGACAGGGTTTTATTGCAGCATTGGACTTAGCGATTGCAAATCATAGAATCATAGAATCGCTTTGGTTGGAAAAGACCTTTAAGATCATCGAGTCCAACCTTTAACCTAACCCTGCCACCCGACCACTAAACCATGTCCCTAAGCACCTCATCTATCCTTCTTTTAAATACCTCCAAGGATGGGGACTCTACCACCTCCCTGGGCAGCCCATTCCAGAGCCTGACAACCCTTTCAGTGAAGAAGTTTTTCCTAATATCTAACCTAAACCTGCCCTGGCGCAGCTTCAAACCATTCCCCCTCGTCCTATCATCTGTTACCAGGGAGAAGAGGCCAGATGATAGGACGAGGGGGAATGGCCCGTGTGGGACCCTGTGCCACTGTGGCGCTGCCAGACATGGGGTGCCAGAACCCTGGGGACCAGGCTTTCCTGGTAGGGGGCAAAGGCGATTTCGTGGTGAGAAGGGAACGTTCTGTACAGGGGGTGAAGAGCAGTGCAGTGTGGATGCGGTAGGGGCAATTCCTGCAGTGCATGTCCCCAGTGATGCTATGGGTACCAAAGAACAAACAATCTCAGAAGAAAGTATAAATATTAACCCCCCCTGCCATGAGGAATATTTCAGGAGCTTGGAGTGCAGTTCAGCTGCTGGGAGAGCCCTACCAAAGCCCAGGACCTGGTGGTCAAGGCGGGATCAAACCATTTTATATCCAAAAATGTAGAAGAGGTGTTTGGGTGCTGGGGTCGAGGCAGTTCTGTCGGCATGGTGTGCAGGTGGCTGGTTCATGTCTCCTGGTTCCTCTGGTGCCTCCTGGGCATCCTGGCTCCCCGGCGAGCAAAGGCAGTTCCTCTTTGCTGAACTCCTGGGGATGCTCCTGCAGAGTGGGGAATTGTGCTGTTAACGGGCTTGTGGGGGGCCGGCTGCAGGCCTGTGGCTGCCATGGTCGGGTTCCCTGGCTCTGGGTTCTGGCAGATTCATGGGTCAGGGAGAAACCAGGCGTAGATGAGCTGGGTGGTGCCTCCTGGAGAGGTGAATGTCCCATGTCACGCTGCCCTGGTTGAGCTGGTTTCTCTGTTTTGCAATCGGGGTCGTGCCGGGTATCGGTATCGGGGCTGCTCCATCTGGGTCCCTGCTTGAGCCCCTGGTGCCTCTTTCCCACCAGCAGCAGTTGTGGGGTGCTTTGGGATGTGTGGAGGGGTCCCACTGATCCCACTGCTGGATTTGCCATGGAGGGGGACTGGAGGTTGTGAGGGGGTGATGGAGGGGATCTGCACTGGTGGCTGAGACTTCTCCAGTAGCAAAGGCTTCCTGGGAGGGGTGGGGGTGCTTCCCAGCAGCCTGGGCTGTGTTTCCTCCTCCACCTTCATGTGGCAGTTGCATTCCTGATCCCAAAAGGAAGAGCTTAGACATAATAACATGTTGCCTCAATGTTTTGCTGCAATTAGCATGCCCTGTACCTAATTAATTAACTAGAGCCTGTGTTCATAGGGTGTTTTGGCACCCTGTGTCCCAACTCGAGGCATCTGTGGGTGAGGGTGCTCACCTGAGCATGATGTCCCTGCCACCCAAGCAGATGTCTGGTGGTCCCAATGCTGTCCCGGGGTGTTGGGGAGCAGCTTTCCCATGGGCTGTACCTGTTGCAGGAGGAGCTGCGGCCTCGGCTGTGCCACATGAAGAAGGGTCCCAATGGCTATGGCTTCAACCTGCACAGCGACAAGAGCCGCCTAAATCTTGGTGCTCCCTCACAGCCCGGTGCCTGGGAAGGAGCTGTCCTTTGCTGGGAAGGTGCGCGGTGTCCCCACTGCTGGTGGTGACTCACAGTGCAGCCGCCCAACCCGTGCCAGCCTGCTGGTACCCACCCAAGGGCACAGCCGGGCGGGCAGTGGGGAGCAGCACCACAGAGGGCTGGGGCTGAGCACTAATTAGCCGGCTGTGGGTGAAGCAGCAGTAGTACTATCTCCTGCTCAGAGCAGGAGTGTCCCTGTGCTGTCCCTGGGGTGGGGCAGCTGATGACAAGGTGCACGATGGCCCCAAGCACTGCTGCTGGCTGTGACCGGGGCGGGGACAGGGTTTGTGCCAGGGGGGTGATGACCCACGAGGGCAAGAACTGTCTGAGCCCCAACCCCGCTGCTTACCAGGGTGTGGGGCTGCTGCCTCTTTTGGGGGTGAAGCTTTGGGGTCTCTGGGGACCGTGCCATGGCACGAGGGCTTTGTGCCTTGCCCGTGCTGCACATCTCCTGCGCCAGCCCTGGGTCCATGCCCTGCCAGGCGCTCCCTGGAAGCTTTGCCCGTAAGATCCCGTGCTAATCACTCAGAGGAAAATCTGCTTTTAATGAGGTTTTGCTGGCTTCTCCGCTAATCCCCGCAAGGCTGCAGATACCTGTGGAGGCTGTGGGGTGGCCGTGCTGGGGTTGTGACTGGTACCAAGGCTGGTACCTGGCACCTCCACAGAGCTCCCAAGGGACAGATGTCCCCTGGCCCCAGCGGTGACGTGGTGCCATGCCTGCAGGTGAATGGGGTGTGCATGGAGGGCAAGCAGCACGCCGATGTGGTGGCAGCCATCAAGGCAGGCGGCGACGAGACCAGGCTGCTGGTGGTGGATGCCCTCACAGATGAGTTCTTCAAGAAGTGCAAGGTGGTGCCCTCTGAGGAGCACCTGGCAGGTGGGCTGGGGGCTGTGCTACAGGGAGGGGGGTTTGTGCCACCTCTGCTGGCTGTGTCACCTTGTCACCAAACCTGGGGTAGTCCCTGAGCCCTGGGAGGTGGAGGTGTCATCACCCTGGAGCCAAGCAGGGCCACCTGGCTTTGGTGCCTCCCTACCTGGCCGAGGGCCCTGTGCCAGGGCAGTGGGGCTGATGTGTGCTCTGTGGGAAGGCAGGTTTATGGCCCTGGGCTGGACTTTGGCAAGGTGTACAGCTTGGGGAGCGAACAGGCAGCAGCCACCCTTTGCTCTGCAGCCTCCGCTCAGCTGTGGCCCCCTCCCTGCTGTGACAGTGGTCCTCGGGAGAATGGGGGGTGTGTGTCTCACTGGGCTCTGTGCCCTGGCTGTCACCTTGGGGAGGTACCTGGTGCCCAGCAGCATCCCCTGTGCTGCAGGGCTGGCTGCAAGGGGTGGGTTAAAAAACTGGGGACCTGTCCAGACCTTTGGCAGCATTGGGTGAGCACTGGCCACATGCAGCCTTGCTGTGCCTGCTGCTGAGGGGGATGGTTAAGAGGGGACAGAGCAAATGCATCCTCACCCAGTGCCCATGTCCTCACCCTGCAGGTCCCTTGCCAGAGCCAGTTGCCAATGGCGATATAGGAAAGGTAAGTGAGCCTCTTCTTGCTTTTAATCCCATCTATGCCAGTCTCTGCGCACTAAACGTGCCTGTTTAGGTGTCCCCCTGCCCATGGGTGGGTTGGTGCCGCCAGGGACTGCAGTGCTCCCAGGCTGCCACACAAGAGCAGGTGCCACCGGGAAGGGGACCAGGAGCCTGTACCCCCCAAGGAAGAGGCTGTCTGTGGGGCTGAGTGTCGTGGAGGTGGTTGCAATGCCTCCCCTCCTCCTCCTCCTCCTTCTCCATCCTCATGGCGGTGCAGGGCTGGGAGCCCTCATGCTGCAGGGACGTAGCATCCAGCCCGCGGCCGGCCCCCCCCCCCCCCCCTCCCCCCCCCCTCCCCCCCGCCGCTCCACATCCCTGCCCCTGGCTCCAGAGCCCAGCTTTCCCAATCAAGGCGTGGCATT